TTTTCCTTCGCAATAATCCTGTGTTTATTTTTTGTAAGAACAGTTTAAAAATAGCAATTACATCCTTCTGTGACTTCTTTCTCGAAGCGACTGCTTCACAAGAGTGCCATGCTTTATTCTGCGCAAAATGTTCGCTGCACCCCCTCCCCCTCTTTTATATACTTACACGACGAACTTCATCATGCATGCATGACGATAATTTTTCCAGCAGGCAACTGATGACTTATTTATCACAATGTAGCAGATAGTTTCATGCCAGAATGCAGACTGCGAGTGAAAGCTCTTCACCTTCAACAGCTAGCACCAAGCTGAGTTTTGCGACACTGCATGCCCATTACAGCAAGTAAAAACAGAGCTAACGCTGCATTTGCTGTGGATGAAACTGGGGTCACAAACATTGCAATCAAGGGCAGCGTCCACGCAGTTCTAAGGGCATGTGCGTTGCCTCCACATGCGTCAGAGCAAAAATACTGAGCGTGGCAGCTGCTGTGGAAGAAACTTCGCTTGTTTAAGGGATACAAACACTTTTAGGAGGCAAAGCTCGTAAAGCCATGGGTTTGTCCCTCCTAGCTCGTACGTGACCGCCTAGTTCGATGACTCACTCAGCAGTTATGAAGCGTGGAAGCTTGGGCAAGTTGGTAGGACATAACTGAATGCAGGAACAGCGCAACCTAGAAGTAGTTACTTCGTAACTACGGAAGCGAAAAAACAAGGACAGAAAAGAGCGCTGACTTTCAACAAAGATTTAATGCCGGAGTGGTGTACATATATAGGCGAAAAATGAGAAAAACGGGCATGCGTAGAAGGGTGCAGGAACAACTACTGCGATACAATGTCAGCAAAACTCTTGTCTCTTGTTGAATGGGCTGAAAAAACAAATACATGTGTAACTTAAGAAAGATCGAGATAAGCAATCTCCTTTTGCAACAACGCAACCGATGGGCAACTGACACATTTACCGTCAAACTTGTTTATTTGATAAGCTTCCATTATCTCACGTGTGGCCTGCGAGTTGTGCTTGCTTAATACCTCGCAACGCTCAAAAACTGGCACGCAGCCGCAGTCTCGGCAGTGGATTCCGAGGTGTCCTTGAACTACGTTGTGTACATTGTTATTGTGCTCTCTTAAACGGTCATTAAGGCACCTTCCGGTTTGCCCTATGTATACCATTCCGCACGAAAGCGGAATGAGATATACGACACCAATAACACAAGGTGCAAAGCGCGTTCTGTGTTTCACAGTGCATCTTCCTTTAATAGCAGCTGGATTATTCACCAGCTTACAAAGCTTTGTAAGCTTTTCTGGGGCGGAAAAAATAACAGTGACACCAGCGCGTTTACTGATTTTTTTCAGCCGATGTGACACGTTATGCAGATACGGAACTGCAACATATTTCATGGGAACAGACGCGCTTTGAGGCTGAGATCGCCCTCCTCAATTTTTAATTTGCTTCAAAAGTTTTTCCGCAACAGCAGAAATCAGGGGGCTCGAGCGCCTCTTAAGCGCCGGTTACTCGAGCCCCCTGATTTCTGCTGTTGCTTTCTGTAGCTTTTCAAACTCAAGATTCTGTAGCTTTTCAAACTGTTCTTTTTCTCGAACTTCAAGGAGGAGGTCTCCACTGGCCATTTTGGTAACTTTGTACCCGGCTCCAAGAGTTTCTGTGAGACATCTGGCTACTACAAAGGGGGATACGGTTCTGGCTTGCTTGTTGCTTATCTCACTATGTATAACATGAAAATAGGAAAGTTTTCACTTGATCGGTTGAAAAAGCTTAAGTCTTCGGTGCGTACGCACTTTAAGGCGGTACGATCACTTAGTAAGGGAAACGCTCTATGCATTCCAGTTTAATTTTCTTCAGAAGCGTTGGCGGCCACCCACCACGGAGCCCAACGAGGGGACGCTACAAGTTTGTGGATGCTAAAACCTGCAGACGCCAGCCGTACAACGCTACTATAACCCAATGCGCCTAGACCAAGGTAGGCTATTTGCACAGGGTTAACCCTAGCCGCCAGGAAGTTTGGAAGTAGGCAGAAGAGAGTAAAAGACAGGACAGATAAATAGTGAGAGATAAAGACGAAGATGTAGGGAGAAAGAGATAGGAAAAGGCGACTGCCGATTTCCCCTGGGTGGGTCAGCCCAGGGGTGCCGTCTACGTGAAGCCGGGGCCGAAGGGGTGTGTTGCCTCTGCCGGGGGGCCTTAAAGGTCCTATCACCCTGCGTCGGCTCAACCCCCAGAATCCCCTTTTCCCCGGACACGGCAAAGCCACGCATGGCTAGGCGTGGGAGGGAGTAGAAACTCCCCCGTTAGCTCGGGACCGTGGTGTCGCTACACACCAAACGCCTACTTGCGCAGGCGCCCCTGCGGGGAATCATGGAATGTTCCGAAGCAATTACGCGCACAACACGAACATTACAGATTGTTCTGGAACACATGTGACCGATAGGAATAATGCTGGAACATTCGGCGGCACATGTATAAATGCCGACGCGAATCCGCATTAGCCAGTTGATCGACGGCTGACACTCTGTTCACTGCTATCAGTGTTGGTTCCTTGCTGTAATACGACTTTCCTTTTACGTGGCCACAAGTTCAGCCCAAATGAACAGTTTCATTTTCGACCTGCAGTCTGCTCATTTCGCCTATGTCACGACCCCGTGACAATATTAAATCAATCAAAATGCTGGATTCACAAGACGGACGTGATCGTGGACAGATCAGTGACGTGACATGCGACATGTTCGGGGTTTCTCTGCGGCTCGCATTCACATGAGAGCGGAGATGGCGAAAGGAGATCGGCCCTACTCTCGCTCCCAGGAGCGTAGGCGACAGCGCAGACGGCCGCGGCAGCTCTGCTGTCAAGGTTTTCAAAATGGACGTCGCGCACAAACGCCGCCTTGCCACGATGGCTGTTGCTTTCGCAGACGCACCTCGTCATTCAGCCTGGAGTCGTACAGCGCTGGCCCTGCGATTTTCTCCATAAGTTAATTCATTTTAAGCAATAGTCGCATACTGCGCGCACAGTTCAGATTATAGTAGCGTCGCCTTCGTATTGTGCGCTCTTCGCAGCAAAGCGACTTGGATTGGATTGGAAAGAACGGTGGTTGCCAGCTCAAAGAGTTTCGCCGCCGGGAGTTTTGTTTCATTCGCCGAAAATCCCAAGTGATCCCAACTGTGATTTGGGTCTCCGTCGTTTCACGAAGCGCTCCCAGCAGACTGAAAAAGGAGCGCATGAACAGGTGACTTATGGTGATGTAGTACGCGATCCCCGGGATCGAATGGCGATTTGGTTCGTCGTGTTAGGGAACAGCAGCATTGGCCCTCGTTTTTAGCCCCCTTTAGCCATCACTTGGCCGCAGACCCACCTGATGGTGTTGTTACCTGACATAGTCATATTTCATCATAATGCTGCATCTTTAGAACTCACATGATCCATCTCAGAATAATGTTTGACGTCATTCAATTCTTGATACTATTCGTGTTGTTGATGCCAACAATCGATCATTCAGTTCAATGAGGCACATAAGACTTCTGCCATAATGAACAAGCCATGCATGCACATGATAACTGAATATGATGTAAATCCAAGCACATCACTTTTGAGGTATCACAGTTGCAACTCACATGAACAGTCACAGTCAGTTGCCAATTTTAGCACTTATACTGAAAAGCTACATGTCATGCATGCATCACTACTAACTAGCAATAACACCTTTTCTTGTTAGATGCAAAGAATCTCTTGCTTGGGTCTATATTCCGCGGCGACGGTGTCCACACTCACGCTACACATGCACAAATATACTCCTTCCCTCTCTCCAACAGCTACGCGTTACCTTGTCCGCTTCTCTATGATCCCCCCTCTCGCTTTGCAACGCCGATGAAGGAAGTGTCTGCTAACCCATGCTTGCTCCCTCCTCTTATCTAGGCATTCCTTGCTGCGGCATTTACACCACCATTGCGCATTCACGTCCCCTCCCTCTCTTCACTCGCCCTCTCCCACCTAGCAACGCTGACAGTGTCTGCTAGTGAGTTCTTTGACTACTCGCGCTGCACAACCATTCGCAGGCCACGCCGTATATATAGGCACTGGATCTTGACCTCCAAAGTAGCGCCGGTGGCAGATTTTTCCTGTGCATTGTTGAACAATCAAAATTTGTGCGTGTGTGTTAACTAAAAGTGGACTGTGGGTCTCTGTGTCCAATCGGTGTAATCTGTCTCTCACTGCCCATTGGCAGCAATTGGCATGTTCCAGTAGGAAACACTGATACATCTCTGTGTGCCTTGCGCCTCCCCAGGTTTCGTGCAACACCCCAAATAAGTGCCAGTGTCAACGTCGCCGCCAGTGTGAGAGTTAGCACCCGCTGCTTCACATCTAGACGTGGTTCCTTTTAGTGGGAGATGGCATGATTTTTTTTTTAGTTTTGAGGTCACAAATGGTTACTTTTGAAAGTATTTTGAATAATACAGTACAATTAACGACGGTGACACAAGAAGCAAACACACAGTCCTGAACTTGACCAAGTTGTTTGGTCTATCGCATTGAACATGCCCAAGTATGCTCTTTTGCAAGTAATTCATTTTTAGAGAGCAAGATATTACACCAAGGTAATCCCATCAATAAATTGATTAAGATGTAGGCATTTTACTTGGCCTATAGTGCTATTACAGGTAGCCTTTAATCATTGGCACAATACAAGTCAAGTTACGCTGCGAAGAAACCTAGATTGATTTAGATGACCTGATGATCTCTCATGAGCACTTACCTAATAGCAGCACATGAGTTTGACGTATTTAGTTATGCTGAATGCAGCCACTGCAGCTCAGAATTAAAACTGCGACATTTTGTCCAGCAGGATACTTCAGTGAAAGAATTATCACAGCCAGAAACCCAAGGTAAAAAGGTTTGTGCTTGCAGCTCCAAATGCAACTCTATCTTTAGTGACCAATCCTCAGCACAATCAGAAAATGTCCTTGGATGCAGGCGAAAATGATAGCAACTTACCCTGTTGAGGTCTTCATGGAGCTTGTCAATGAAGTTGAGGAGAAACTCGTGGGCATCTTGCTGCTCAAAACCAGCATAAACATTGCACAACCTTCCCATCAGACTCTGCAAACAAGAAGTGCGCACCAGGTCAGACATTTGTTCAGGATACAAAACTGTTATATCATCCATAATAACACATGTGTTTATTTTTTTATTTTTTGTTTGATTCGGCTTTCGCCCACGAAGCCTGGGTCAGGAATGCTCAGCACAAACTGTGCATGTTTGTTCGGGAAGGTCTGCAATCATTGTAGATCGTTCTGTTAAGATTGCCTGCCAGACGTGAACACTCGAAATTATTTCAGAGCTTGCACGAAGACCATTGATAAGGCTGAAACATTCAACGACACATGTATAAATGCCGCCACGCTTGGCTACTTGTCAGTTGATTGACGTTGGAAACTCAGTTCGGCACTGCGTAGAGCAAAAGCAACATTGATGCTCACGAATTTTAGCAATGAGTACAAGCACGTCAGCAAAGGCACTACGGTTGCCTACAAGGAAGAAATACTGGAAGCCATCAACGCTTTCGCCCTCACCGATTCTACCGAATCTAATACGACGACTCGAACTCTTCGACCACCTTTCAGCATTAAGGGGGAAGGTGGCATAAAATATTTTTTTTGTTGACCTATAACAATGAAATTTGCCATGCATACTCATACGTGTCTTGAATAGGGAAATATGAAGTTTCATCATGATACCTTGAGTAGTTCTCAAGTTACATCATGCTACATAGTTCGACTTATATAATCTGCTCGCGGAAAGCCTAGCGCTGTAAAAGAACATGCCAAGAAGCTGCAAATGGTGTTGATCTTTACTCAAAAAAAGAAGACTATTGGGCATGACAATCTCAGAATTTTTTATCACTTCTCTCTCTTTTTTTTTGTAGAGATAATCATGGCTGCCAACACAAATAGTCAGAAACAGCGTCATGTACAAGTCATCTTCTAGAAAAAAAAAAACTGGGCCATAAACAAGAATTAAAAGATTGTCAGACGCTAAAGAAATGTTTAGGGTTTCAGGAAAAAAAAAAAACTGCATCAAAATCAGTTTAGTCATTCCTATGCTACATTTTTCATCAGCAATGCACAAAGTCCGAAACACACGTGTGGGAAAAAGCCTGTCAACGTTTTCGACGGGCTTTTTTCTATGTTTCTTGTTGGATATTGATTAAAATTGGCACGGACACTAGAAATGGCCTCACAGTGCTTCCATAAAAATTTTGGGGCAATACCAAATATACTTAATGAGGGAAAAATTATTTTTTCTTCATTGAACCTCCTAGAGGGGCTGAGCATAATGCCAAAAAAACATATTGAGAAGACTGCATTTAAAGTTTCAACTTCTCTTTATGTCTCTAAAACACCTAAAAATTATGATCTCAGGTTTGTCTTGCGATACACGATTTCTTCGGCGTGTGGTCTCTGATAAGAGTGCCTTTGTTGCCCCCCCCCCCCCCTTTTTTTCACAACCTCCTTTTCTTGATTTACAAAGACCAAGTACGGATTTCAAACCAAGCTCTTTGTATGAAGGAGTGGTGTGACAAGGATGACAAAAATATTGTAATTGAATAAGACCATATACTGAAGTTATTATACATATTTCTTGTGTTCAAGCTGTCATTAGCATAATTAAGTGCTTGATTACAAATAATCACCGAACACTTTTTATATAGAGAGAGGTTTATTGCATAACAAAAAATGGCTCACGCCATGACAGCCTATGCCTTTTTTCCAAATAAAAAAGTTATGGGCAGGAGACTGGTGGCACAGAAATTTTTCAGCAGTTTATTTAATGACACGAGACGGGCATATAAAAATTCGTGCCACTGCTTTACACATGCTTCTTTGCCACTCTAGCCATAAAACGCACCATCATGCGGCTGGTCATGGAAACGCCAATCTATGAGGCTTTCATTGTTTCAGAACATTCATAGACGCTCGTGGTGATACCAAGCATAGCTCCTAGCACGTCTAAAACGCATCACAAAAGCTTATTGACAGCACTAAATATGACTGTTGAGTGCGCGGCCGTGTGGACAGTGCAGCTGGTGCGTGATGCACTTGACGGCAGCGTTCAGTGACAATGCGCGAAATGTGTAGCTACGATGACAAAAATCGGCGCGCCCTGCACTTGGTATCGCATTTTCGGGTGACGGCGTGGGAAATCGCTAGCCGCTGTTGCAAACAATCCTTGGCAGTAAAGGGGACAGGTTGACGAGCTTGACAGTGGGGTCCGCTGCCAATGCGTAAAATGCCCATCCGTGGTTCGGAAGAGCTAGCGAGTGATGCGCTTCGTTGCTTGCGAAGAAGCACGTCGCCACTCTTTCTCACGATCTCGCTGTCAGCGGACTTAAGCCTCTTGACGATTACGATGACGTGCCACGCTCGTAGGTCGCGCACCCGCTAATAGTAATCTGATCGTGAATCCACTTACAGCTTTGTTGCTCACGAAGAAGCACGTCGCCACGAGTGCGCTAGCGCGCCGTTCTTGCCCGCAGTATTGCCATTAGCAGAGTTTGGCCTAAAGACGACTCCAATCACGCGCTGCACTCGTAGAGTGCGCGCCCGCTTAATCACCTAAATATGCTCAGTGTATAAATTATTCAAGTGTTTCCCACGAACTACAGACACAAAACTTAGTCTTTTATGTGCTTTCTTTAAGTTCTTCTCCTTCCTTGGCTAAACTTTTTGCACCCACAAACATGCTGAACACCATAGATTCGCAATAATTCAAACTATGATAATTCATACTTTTGGTCAATTCAAACGAAATTCAGTTCTCTGGTTGGCCCTTTATACTTTCAATGTATTTGGAAGCCTCTTAATTCATACTCATCATTTCGTTAATTCATATCCTTTATACTTTCAATGTATTTGGAAGCCTCTTAATTCATACTCATCATTTGGTTAATTCATATCTTTTGCGGCTCCATACTGGAAAATATCTACTGCTTTCCCACTACTAATTAAAAATTTGCATGATTATATAATCCTAACAGTCTAGAAATGACCCATAAGTGCCCTAGCCTTGGAGGGAAAAGGCTTTGCTAGGAAACAATTGTTTTAACTGAAGCTCACACACGATAAACCGTGATACTTCTAAACTGGTATGGAGAGATCTGCGCTCAAGGCACATATAGTAAAGAAGTAGTTGGCAATTCATGATTTCTTCAAAAGGTCTGATCAGCCGTAAATGGCCATTAGATTTGTGGAGCCTACATCTCCGCTTTTTGCTCATTGGGTGCAGTTAAGGTTTAAAAACACTTGAACAATTTTTAAATGTGACAATTCAATACCTTGATATTATGTGTGGTGTCACTTAGCCCAGACTCATATATTTGAGAACTTCTGATAATTCAAGCTTCTTGATAATTCAAACAAAATTCAGAGGTGCCCTCGAGTTTGAATTAACGAGAGTCGACTGTAATTGGACCCACTCGTTTGAGGTATAAAACAGGTGCTTTCTTTCCATATCACTTTCTTTGATGACATCCCGGTTTTCTAAACTGAATTGAACAAAAGAATGTGTTCTGTGCGAAGCACGGACACAGAACGAAAACCCAGCAATGGCATGTGGAGACACCAAATGCTGCTTTATCGAAAACAAGAACACCCCACTACTTTACTGCAACCACGGTGTCTACTCTGTGACCACAGCTGACTGCACTTACGAATGCGCATTCAGCTGAAAAGTCCCTAGAAATAACGCCATTTGTGTCACCGTGCAAGCCCCTTGTCTCCCTCATGCTTGATAACCTTTGTGGTGCAAGTGCCATCTTGTCTGTCCTTGGTTGCATGTTTTCCTTTGCTTCCACGAAAACACCGGCAAGGAGGAGGAAGTGCCCTGCTCTTGTGTGCAGGGAGAGGGTGTGCTTTGTCCGTAGTTTCTTGCTGGATGCTATGAGGGTGCTGTTGCAGCAGATGATAGAAGAGGCAGAGGCGAAGGGGCGTGGTTGACGCTACTTTAGTTTTTTTAGGGACTTTAGTCAGCTGAGGTCAGCACTTACGCTCGGCGGCGAGGCTGGTTGGCACACACAAAAAAGATTCAGGACTCTCTTTGCCGTTGCGGCATCAATAGGGATGCACGTCTCCTGCGGTGGGGTTGGAGGGAGTCTGTGGGTCCCTTGTATTGAGTCAAGCGCGTCGCCTTGGATTTGTTGTTATGTTATGCTGAGTGTATTGGAATGTTGTAAAAGGATGTTCTTGCATGTCACTGGTGACATATTTGATTTGGCTTGCAATATCGTCATTTGTTAGTTCAATAAATGTACATCAAGTTTAGTTTGAGTTCGACCGGAGTTCGACCGGCTACCACCGGAGTACGGGCTTCTACAAGACAAGGCGCGGAAGACTAAGGCCATGACTGCGACTGCAGCGACAATGACAACCGCAGCGTCCCAGCCAACGATGGTCATGCATCAACCCAGGGAACTACCAATTTTCCATGGGTCATCGTTCGAACACCCGGAGTCCTGGCTAGAAACATACGACCGTGTGGCTGCCCTCAACCCCTGGGACCAAGACGAAAAGCTCCGTCGTGTTTTCTTCTATTTGGAAGACACCGCAAGGACCTGGCTCGAAAATCGGGAGTCCACGCTGCAAACGTGGGATGTTTTCTGCGGCGCATTCCTGCAAACGTTCGCGAGCGTCGCTCGCAAAGAGAGGGCCGTTGCTTTATTAGAGACCCGGGTTCAGCTACCAAATGAAAATGTCGCCATTTTCACAGAAGAAATGACCCGACTATTCCGTCACGCTGACCTAGACATGCCTGAGGAGAACAAAGTTCGTTTCCTCATGCGAGGGGTCAAACAGGAGCTCTTCGCAAGACTGATGAGAAATCCACTGAACACCGTCCAAGAATTTGTAGCCAAAGCGACCACTATCGAAAAGACCGTGGACATGCGCACCAGACAGTATAATCGTCGCCTGACTCCAGAATGCGCTGCTGCTCAAGCCAGCAACTCCGAAGCCTGCGTGAAACGATCCAAGCGATTGTGCGGGAAGAGCTGCGCAAGCTGTTGCCTTCGGCGCAGCCTCAAGTGAATTCGATCGCCGACATTG